TATTAAAGCCTAACTCTACTAAAGAATTTAACTATTTTACTGTCTTAAAGGTTTTACTACCACTGCTTATTATATCATTGTACTATCTANAGTATATAATCTATTAAAGCAAAACAAAATTGAAGACACATTTCCTAACGTAGAAATTGCATTGAGAATATTTTTAAGCATGATGGTAACTAACTGCAGCGGAGAACGCTCCTTCTCCAAATTGAAACGAATAAAAAATGAATTAAGAAGTACAATGCTTCAAGAGAGATTAAATAGTTTGTCGCTGATGTCCATAGAATGTGATATTCTCAATACCATAGATTTTGAAGAAGTGATTAACGATTTTGCTCATCTTAAATCTAGAAGGGTACCTTTGCAATCAACATAGAATTAATCTAAGGATTTTAAGTTAAGCGAGTTACTTTTGTAGATTATTTTTTATATTTCCTATTTTTTTATAGCTAGTAACTAAATAAAAATAAATTTAGAACCTTGTTTGTCTTTCTTTATCTATTGTAACTAAATAGTGTTTTCTCAAGGTCATAGGGGCCCCATGATCCTAATGTGCCCAGGGCCTCAAATAGTTTAAAGACGGCCCTGGACCCAATCGAAATTTCGAATAAGTTCCTGTTCGAAGATTTTAGACTATTCCAGAAATCAAAGCTTCTCGAATTCATGCGCTCTAACTCAATCTATATAAGCGGGAAACAGACAATATGCATGCAGTATGTAGTGCGCATGTAGTTAGATCCAAGTCGTTTTATCTGTAGCTCTGTTTATTGGGCTAGTGAGATTCTTGGAGAGCGATCATCTGCATTTTGCTGTTGTGGAATCTTAAATTTGTTATTAAGTCAATTGCATTCATAATGAAGAGACAAGCTTCTATTAAAAACTTTTTCGCAAAAAAACAGATTGTAAATAAGTCTGTTAGCGACAGTACTAAAGTTGGCTGTGCTACTTAGAATGTTTCTTCTGGTGTCGAAGGTATTTGTACGGTTGATCCACATCCAGTCCCAATTACAGAGGATTTCAACTAGGTAAAAAGAGATATCTATGATATTGGAAACTATTGTCAAGATGATTCCATTCGTTCGTTAACAAATGAAGAAAAAATTTCGCTTGTAGAAAATGTTTGGAAACCACAACCTGCATAAAAATTTCCTTCTAATTCCAGTTGTTCTACTTCAACCCATACTAGATCTTTTCAAATGTAATGGTCAGAAGAATTTAAGTGGTTAGCTTATTCTGAAGAAAAATGCGGATTTTTTTTGTAAATATTGCGTAATATTTTCACCTTCCAATAGTGTTGGAAAAGGAGATCATCAAGTAACAGGGGCATTTAATAATTTGAAAAAAGCCAAGGAAATATTTCGTAAACATGAAAATTGAACTTATCATAAAACATCAGTTTTGATTGCGGAAGACACAAAATCCATTGTAAAAAAAAAAGCTGACAGTGTTATCAATAAAGTCAATGCTCAAAGAAAATTGGATATTGAAAAAAACAGAAAAAGATTGATTCCTATAATACAAACTATAAGATTTTGCGGAAGACAACAAATAGCGGTGCAATTAAGCAGTTATTTGAATTCTCTATTAAGTAAACATAAGATTACTCCAAATGATATTTATAACGTTGATGAAATAGGAATTCTAACGGTGCCAAACAAGCCTTCAAAAGTGTTGAGTCTACGAGGCAAAAAGCAAGTGGGTAGCTTGTATTCAGCCGAACGAGGAGTTTTGGTTACTGTTGAAACATACATCAGTGCAGCTGGGGTATTCGTCCCTCCTATGTTTGTATTTCTTCAAGTGAAGAAAAACCCAAGATTCATAGATAATGCTTTCCCAGGATCTTTTGAAGTGTATCACAAGACCAGCTGGGACACTAAGGAGACCTTCACTGTGTGGTTTTAAGAGTTCGTAGAATTTTTCAACCCTAGGCATAAGAAACCAGTGCTGTTGCTGCTTGATGGACACAGCAGTCACACCTAAAGTTTGGAAGTTGTAAATTTGGCAAAAGATGATAATGTAATCATCCCAGAAAAAATGGCTGATAAGAGAAAGAAGAAAACTGTAGTAATAACATCATCTCCATATAAAAGTGAATTTTGAAGAAAAAGAAAGGATGATTAAACTACAAGAAAGAACCAAGAGAATTGAAGAAAGGACTGAGCGGCATCCTTTCATCTTAGAACCACCCAGGCAGTCACTCACCTCTATCTAACCTTCAAAGACCACCCAGCTTCTGACCCTGATCCCCCCCTCTTCTGATCTAGCCGCCTCGCAGGCCACCTGCACGCTGACCCTGACCTTGGGCTTCCCGCCTTTTCTATTAACAATACAACCCCTCTGACTTCCCCCAACTAACACCTGCGCCCTTATCTTTTCCCGCCATCAACAAAACATAAACAAACCTAGTGTTTGCAAACATTGGCTTCAATAAATAAATAAATACAAGCTATAAATGTAATTTTTAATACTTACTGTTAATACTTTAATAAATTCTTAATACTTTTAATACTAATGTAATTTTTAATCTAATAACTATGTAACGACCATATTACTATTAAAGCCAAACTCTACTAAAGATTTAACTACTTTACTGTCCTAAAGGTTTTACTACCACTGCTTACTATATCATTGTACTATCTATTATTTGTTTTACTGTGTTAACTGTTAACTAGTGCTACATGTAACTTGGTACAATTGTTATTTTAATGTTCTGTCTTAAGCCCCATGCTTTTCTATTATGGCTAACAATCATAAATTCGGCCCAAGTGCCACCCTGTACAATCAACTGGCCCCTTTAACAACTTTTCGGAACACGGATGTTTACGATCCGGAGGAGGTCCCAACTGCTAGAGGTAACTCTACCCCCCCCCCCAGTTTCGCATAGGACTAGGGCCAATGCGTCACTGATAGGACTAGAAATTGACCTGACTGGTCGCGTGAGACAAGAGTTTTCTCTTTTACAAGATTGTATCACGGGATTAAAAAATCTCGCAACACCTCACCTGCCGAAGGACGCGAAGGCTAAACAGACGTGCTTGGCGATTGACATCAGTGCTAAGATCAGGGATTTAGAGAACCTTTATCAGACCTTGGCCCAACAGTTGGCCCAAAAACCAAGCCACCCAAAACAAACCCAAGAAGTCCAAGACAACTGGCACTCAGACAGAGGGACCGGTAACACTGGTTGATGTCGAAGGACTGATTAGTGTTACCACATCTCTGCATGAGCAGATACAGGCGAATAACGCCAAAATTGACGAACTATTGAGTCAATCAAAACAACCTGACGCAACGCCAAGGACGTACGCTCAAGCCGCCGCCCCAACGCAGGACCAACCCCCCATTCCTAGACTCCCCACAATCATTAACTTACCCATCCCACCAAGCGCTAACAAGCAAGATATCATTCATAAAGTTACCTCACTGCAGACTAGGGCCTCTGTAAGGAAAGTTAACATTCAACCAAAACAAATTACCATTAACTGCGACACCGATTCTGATAAACAAACGCTAATCAACGACCTCAATAACAACGACTTTAAAGTCGTAATTCCAAAACAACGCAGACAGAATATAATCATAACTAACGTGCCAACTTACATCACAAAGGACTGTCTGTTCGATAGGCTGCACGCTCAGTTGGGCACCAACCAAACAGACTTTCCTATAAAATTGTATAGGGTAAGCAAACACAGGAACAACCAGTTGCTGCAGCATTGGGTGATCTCCCTTACCAAAGTCTCTGCCAATATTCTTTGCCGGCAGCAGCACATCTATTTCGGACTCAGCCTCTCTACCATCTCAAAATTCGTTAGGATAAACAGGTGCAATAAGTGCCAAAACCTTAACCACAAGGAATCAGATTGCGATTCCGGCCCCATCTGCATGCACTGCACAGGCAAACATCACTCCAATAACTGCATCAACAGAGACTCCTGTGTTAGCTACAATTGTTATTACATGAACGAGTACCACAAGCAAGACCCGGAGTGGTACCCACTAGACATATATCATAAGGCTAACGACAGATACTGTCCAACATACCACCAAGTTAAATACGGCTATTGGCCATAATCTTAATTCTAACCTTAACTAACTACCATAGTTCTACTAATTTAATTTCTAATTAATTTTCAAACAATCTAATTAAGTTTTCCCCATTTCTATTCCAAATTAATCCCATATCAATACAACTCCTGGTCAGGCTTGTGACTACTCAACCAATTAACAAAACTTATCTTTCAGCCAATTAATATCTGTCTGCAACAAGGTAAGCAACAAACAATAGCAAACATGAATAATCAACTACCAAACCAAATTAAATGCCTCCAAATTAATCTAAATAACTGCAGAGCGGCAACAGCCCTCTCAGCCAGATACGCCCAAGATAATAACGTAGATCTAATATTAATACAAGATCCATATCTAACTAATAACAAACTATATGGTTACCCAAATCAGTGGACCACACATCACTCAAACAATAAAGAGGCCTGGTTGGTCTTAACCAATACAACAACAATAAATTTAATACCAGCAACGGAATCAGCAGCCTTTGCCAACATAACTACTTCATTAGGCAACATCATCATCGGCTCGCAGTACGTCAGGCACAGATCTCTCAACAGCACTAGATGAGTGGAGCGGCCTGATATCGGACAAACCACTCAGATCTGAACGCCAGGTCAACCCAATGGGGCTACACAGCAACAGACAATAGAGGAAATCTTCTAATAGACTTTAATATTGCCCATGACCTGATAAGACTAAACTCACAATCACCACTAACTACTTTTTATACGCCACACGCGAAGGGTAATCCCAACTTCACCTTAGGAAATCGTGACGGCTCCATATTAGTCAACGACTGGACCGTCAACGATGCACATACTGCGAGCGATCATAGATATAGAACGTTTAACCTTAGTCAATCCTTAATAGTCCCAACTTCAAACCGTCTAAAAACTAATTTTGGCAATCATCCTAAGTTTATCAAAATGATACAGCGCGAGGCCCCAGGCCTAATAGACAACTTTAATAAAATAGTAACAACAACAGACCTAGACGAGCACACCAGGGCTCTAATTAAAACAGTAACAGCAATAGCTACTAAAATATACAGATACAGGAAGATTAAACCCTCAACCTCGCCCACATGGTGGACAAACAAACTTAAATACGAGAGAAATAGGTTAAATGCACTCAATAAAAGATTACAAACAAGCAAAGATCCAATAGAAACCAAACTCAATAAAGAAGAGTACAATAAAGCAAAAGCTAAATACCGCAAACAAATAACTAAAGCAAAAGAAACCTCCTGGAAACAATTCTGCAATAATCATTCTGACCCCTATGGTGAAGCCTATAAACTGGGCCATGGTAAACTATTCAAACCAACAGACCTTAACCTAAAACTACCTAACAATAATATTCCAAACAAACAGGAAGCCCTGGTGTATCTATCCAAATTTCACTTCCCAGACAAAGACGATACCATCGCGGACCAACCACCTCTACACACACATCACACAAACTCTGAACCACACGCGGACACAAAGGAGGTGAGAGATGCTCTCTTTGCCTTCCTTACTTCTAAAGCACCAGGTCTAGACGGGCTAGACTTCATGATTTGGAGACGCGTCTTCGAGGCCGACCCGAACATTTTGACTAACTGGGTAAATAAATGCTTAACACTAAATCATTTTCCAAACAACCTAAAATCAGCCACCGTCGTGTACTTCGCCAAACCTGGCAAGGACACGACACAACCAGACGCTTATAGACCGATCTGCCTTCTACCAACATTAGGCAAACTATTAGAGAAAATAATAAACCAACGACTAATTCACTTTTTAGAAACCAACAATAAGCTCAGTGATAAACAATTCGGCTTCCGAGAAGGCAGATCAACGGAATCAGCACTTAAAATAGTCATTAACGAAGCAAAAACAGCAAAAAAGAACAAAAACTGTAAAAACACTAATTATAAAATGCTAATATCAGTCGACATTAAGGGCGCCCTCGACTCAATACATTGGGACCAAATCATAACAAGACTAAATGATCTCAACTGCCCTAAGCAGTTAGTAAACTTAATTAACAGTTATCTAACCAATAGATCAATCGAATTTGACGGCGGTCTAGGACAAACTAAACTTAAAACCTATAAGGGGTGCCCACAGGGGTCATGCCTAGGCCCACTCCTGTGGTTAATTATCGTGGAAATTTTCCTGCAAGACTTAAATCAAAACAATGTAAAGACAATAGCATTCGTGGATGACTACGGTTTCATCATATCAGGCAATAAACGTAATGAAGTAGAAACTAACGCCAATATGGCCATGAACACCTTTAACGATTTTTGTAATAAATATCACCTCAATCTCTCAATTAGCAAATGTAACTTTATGACTTTTAAAAACCCGTTTAAACAAAGACCACCAATAGTTAAGATTAAAAACCAATACATTAAATCAGTAACTTCAATTAAATACCTAGGGGTCGTCCTAGACCAACATATTAACTTTCTCGAACATATTAAATCACTTAGGGCAAAAGCCCTGGAGGTGAAATGGACCACTTTCTATGGATCCGGTCGTCGGTACTGCGGGAGGACGAAAGCAAGGATCTGCCATGCTTTTCCGGAGACCACGTTTCTTAACAAGATTATTATTTTTTTCCCCAGCCGCATTGCAAGCAAATAACAAAAGTAAACAAGGCTGACCCAAACGTCACTCCCACAAAAATAATTACTGTGATGTGACTAGCTTATAACTGTGTTTATTGTATATATGTCTAAACAATATCGCTAGTCTATATGTTAACCACACACAATCAACCACGGACTGGCTCACAATAGCAGCCAACGTGGTTGATCAACACACACGCCTTCACCACTGACCATACAGGCANTATATATATATATATATATATTTCCAGCCGCATTGCAAGTAATTAACAGAACTAAACAAGGCTGACCGAATGTCACTCCCACAAAAATAATTACTGTGATGTGACTAACTTAAAATTGTGTTTATTGTATATATGTCTAAATAATATCGCTAGTCTATATGTTAACCACACACCACACAAACACACACTCAACCACGGACTGGCTCAGAATAGCAGCCAACGTGGTTGATCAACACACACGCCTTCACCACTGACCATACAGGCAGTGCGCCCGGAGCTCTTCAGCTACCCGTGGAGGTCATAGATGTCAAAAAAAAATTGTGTTGTGGCTAGCTAGTAAATATTGTAACGTGTTTGCTGTGACAGTGTTTTTATTTGTAATGCCGCTAGTCTCTATGTTCTTTCCAGATGATACTGATGCAGGGGTAAGGTAAGATCCACAATAATATGTTATTTAATGTAATTAATTAGTTTAACCTAAGCAACGTAATAGTTTTAATCACATAATAAGCTAAGTAATTATAATAAGTAATAGTTCAAGCTACGTAATAGCTTCAATCCATAACATATTAAAGATTTAAAAGCTTAATTTTCTTTATCTAATAGTATTAATTAATTGTAAAACATAATCAAGTGCTATTAATTCGTAATCATTTGAATAAGTATCCTATGGATAATAGTAACTTAATTTGTAATTAGTTTCGCAAGAGTTCTTTAATATTAATCTTAATTAAAATAGCACTTTAGCAATAGAACTTAAAAATTGTATTTTATATGTATTAACCCCCTTCCCTTGCGGGCTTTATTGGGTCTGTAGGGTTGTAGGATTGGGCATTAGGTGCACGGGACCGTACACGACGCTTCTGGGTGATGGCTGTGTGCTTTCTGCGTCCGACGGGCCTCGGTCCTGACGACCTCCGGAGTGCGAGGGAGAAGTAGTTACGCGGGGGCCGCGAAAAGCTGCAAACCCGCTTCGCGGGTCGGCTGGCCACCTGCGGTGAATAAGCACCATCCTTATAGCTAACCCCTAACATTGTGTTATGATATGTAGCCAACCCCATGTTCGTTATGGACAAACCTGTCTTTGGTGGCCCACCAACCTTTCATAATGAGTGTAAACAAGCCCTACTAGCAACAAAAAACGGGCCACCAATCTATTTTGATGAGGAGGATGTTTATGACCCCCACGCTGCTGAGGGCACCCAGAGTGGTCAGGTATCAACCCCAGTTTCAAAAAGAACGCGTTCAAACGATTGCAGTGGTTCAATTGAGCCGACCTTAATGCCATAAGAGCACATATGGGATCACTTTAATATACTAGAGAGAATAGGCAACACTAAGAACAGAGGTCGATACTCACTGTCCGAATATAACAGAGTGAACTTCAACATTATCATTAATGAACTAAGACAGGAATATCGTAACCTTAGTGCTCTGGCATCCAGGGAAAATACCACTGCAAAGAGACAGGTTGACGACTGATTGATTGATTGATTGAATGTAGGGTTTAGTGGCACAAGGTCCAAATGAGGACATGCTGCGCCAAACAATATGGTGAAACAGTTCAAACGTATGAGTGAATGCGGAATGTTAATTGCAGCACAATTAAAACTGATAAAACAGTACAAAGTGAATAAAACAAGATAAAAGTATGAATACAGTATAAAACGCGCGAAATACTAAGTAAAATGAGCAAAGGTGATAAGAGTGTATAAAACAGTAGATGTGTTAAAACTTTTATATGCAGTTAAAAATACCAACGGCACGTAAAAATGCAAAAATGTTCGGATGGTGAATCCCATCCAACAAATCTTGCATGCATAAAATAGAACTTCCAAAAAACTTTAAACGATGTTGATTAAAACATGAACACGTTATTAAAATATGATGAATTGTGAGAGGAACGTTACAAGTACTGCATTCAGGGGGAGGTTCTCCGAATAGTAAATGGAGATGCGTTAACCGGGTGTGACCGATTCGGAGGCGGTTGAGCTTCACATCAGCACTGCGCAAACGCAGCACTGGCAAACTGTCTAAATCAGATTTAATGTTATGCAATTTATTAAAGACTTTGAGGTCCCATTGTTGTTGCCATATTGATGTTACAAATTTTCGGATGTGTA